ATTGATTTTCTTCGCTTTGTTATTCAAACTAGGTCATGACCCAGTAATCTTCTATATCTTGCCTCGTCTTGCTTCACTGGACTTTAATCGAAAATTCTTGCTGAAGACATCTCCATGATTTAGTCAAATATAAATTGCCGATTTATTGCTAAAAAGTTGGTAGAGTAGTTGCTAATTTTTAGCAATCTCTTTCCTTAAGTTCGGCTGAAGTACTTCCTTTTAACGGCTCAAATAACCTTTTATAGCTTTTGAATCCATATGACTGTTCCTTCTTTGTTGGAATCCTTTCTCCAGTTAAATCCCTACTTTAGAGGAATTTTTTTTCTAGCCGTATTTCTAGTATTCCTTTTTCAGTCAATAACCAAATTTGAATTAATTCAAATTCTTGTTACAATAAATATATATTTTCAGCAACAAACTTATAAATAAAGTGGCTGAAATATATTTCCTAGATTTTCTCCTTTTGTCTCTCTGTTGGCCCACTTTCCTTGGAATCATGCTGAACACGTGTCGGCCTATCACTGGTCCACGTCACCGTTGAGGTGGCTGCCAAGTGTTGGTGCCAACAGTATGTTAAGACCAAAAGTAATACTTCTTTTCATTGTTAAACTGATTTATGTTTATTGTGTGTTTATAGGTACTTTCCCAGAGAAACAGTTAAAACCGAGACTTTTTTATGAAAAGACTGATATCGAAACTTACAGAGTCGTTACCGGTCATTCAAAGCAAGCCGAAAACTTAAATGGTGAAGTTTGGAAGAATCCAAGTACCAAAGCTCGAGCCTAAGTTCTAAGACTCGAGCCCTGCAAAAATAAATAAATAAATAAATAAAAATAAAAATAAAATAAAAAAATAAAAATAAAAAATCAACAAGGCAATAAAGCTCGAGCTTTGTACCTCCAGAGAGCTAGGGCCTTACACAGTGGTGCTTGAGCCTTACCCAAGGGTGCTTGAGCCTTTGCCTACAAGCTCGAGCATGAGGCGTCAGAATTTGAAGAGTTGATTTTAAATAAAGCCAAGCTCCTAGGGCCTCGTGCCAGACCTCAAGGATCGAGCACTGTCATTTAGAGCTCGAGCCATGAGCCCCAAAAGCTCGAGTTTTGTACTTAAAGCTCGAGCCCTTTGAAGTTAGGATTGAGGAAGACCCAAAATATTCTAGGTGTTGATGGAAAAGATGCTGCGGAAAATAGTTGAAAAAATTTGACTAAATACAAAAGTGAAGATCGAGCACCATTCCTTGAAGCTCGAGCCATATTTCGAGAAAGCTCGAGCTTTGCTCCCAAAGCTTGAGCCTGAGCCAAATAGCTCAAGCTTTACTCCTTAAGCTCAAACCTTCCAGGACAGATTAGATTTACAAGTTACGAGGATTATTCTTTTCCAAGTCTTAAGTCATTCCAGATGGGATAGAAGACCTAAAAGCCCACAAAACCCTTATTTCTTTTATAAAAGAAGGCATAGGCCTTAGTAGAAGATGTTCCTTATTCTCGTATTATTTAGAAGGCTGATATTATGATGGCGGCTTTTAAGGTTTCTAGAACCTTAGAAGGTGAAGATCCTGAGAAGAGAAGTATCATCCGTGACGATGAAAATGACGACAACATAGATGATATTCTGCATCGTCATGAGTAGTTAATTCCTCTCTTAGGGCACTGTTATAACCCGATGTAAGTATTATGGTTTGATTGTTTTAACTCTGTGATATTTTTAATATATTATATTTCTGATTACATGGTTATGAGCAATTGAGACAACTCAATTGGATTTCAAAGTTTTAAATAGTTTCTGAAAAGTTATTACCATGTCTTAGATATAACTGTTCTTATACTATTCTCACCCCATTCTTATTGGACAGTATCTGGCGGAGCCCTACCGGACATAAGAATAGAGATCATGTAATAGTGTTCTAATATTTTTTTATAAATGAATGTTTTCATAGTCTATGCTTAGGAAAGATAGCTTGTTTGCAAAATTAGTTAAAGTAGGTAGGTGGATAGTCCATACTAATCGCAGATATGTTATACTGAACTGCAATTAATTACAAACTGAATTGAACGAATGTTATTGAGTTCAATTCATTTGAAATATAAATTGTTAAATCTCCAGAGTTGATAGTTAACCATAGTATGAAGGCTGTGGTGAAGTCAAAGCCCTAAGACTTTTTCTCTCTTGGATCTCTTTATTCTAAATTCAGTTTAATTTTATTTTATGTTCGTAACAACCAATCAACCAATCAATTCAACCAGTTCCCTGTAGACCAAGAAATAAATCAAATTAGTTAAGAACAAAGCAAAGAACACTCATCTCCCTGTGGGATGAACACTCATCTCCCTGTGGAATCGACATCCTCTATATAGTACTATCCTACAAAGATTCGTGTTATTGTAAGTGGTAATAAACTAAACACATTAGTAACTTGCTAAATCACGCAAATCTCATTCGTTAATGTGTGTACTTTTATCTATTTTTATTACTATTATTGAGTGAGATCATGGAATAATTCATAATAGGAAATACACATTTGTCTTTATCATTTTTGAGAAGTGGGTCAATGGTTCTTGTTTATCAAAACCTCAATTCATTCTATTAACACCAGTGACATCATTTGACTATACTTTATATTACACAGCAAAAATTGTTGTTGGGGAAGAAGGTTAGTGGTTAGTAGATAGGGGACGATAAGGGTGTCAGGTTAGAATACGAATTTATAAACTTAGGGAGTAATCTAATTATTCGAACAACATGACACTCGTTAGGTAAAAAGAACAATTCAAGTCTGAACTAATTTATTAAAATATACAAATATATTCCAATGACGTCATATGAATTAACATCACATATATTTGATGGTGCCACATATATAATAATGAGTATAATAAAAATAGAGCAAATCTAAGATTAGTTTTTCAATTTTTTTTCCTTCATCTTTTCTTATTACTTGCACGTAACCTAAGTGTACATCAAAGTTGACAACTGTCTCAATTAATCTCATTATAGGAATTAAGAATGGTTCAAGAAATTTCTCCCATGATTAAAAATATATACGTATAGTACTTCACGAATATTAATTAGAAGTCTATAGGTACTGCTTATTAAATAGTCACAAAGAATAGAGAGTGGTTATGTTGATGAAAATTGTTTCTAACTAGGATAATCTATTTTAGAGTTGGTGATTGATATGGTTATTTTTTGATATTGAAAATTCTATAAGTAAAGACGAGGTTAAAAGAATACTGTAGAGAGAAGAAAAATGTGAAGACTGAGAGAAAGAGGACTGTAAAAGGGAGAGATTGTGAGTCCGTAATTTTGATATTGGAAAAAAGATAGTTATTTGTTGTCTGTGAATGTTGGTAACTTGCCGAATCACTTAAATCTCATTCGTTAATGTGTGTATACTTTTATCTGTTTTTACTGCTACTATTGAATGAGACCTTGGATAATTCAAAATAGGAAATACACATTTGTTTTTATCATTTTTGAGAAGAGGGTCAATGGTTCTTGTTTATCAAAACCTCAATTCATTCTATTAACACCAGTGACATCATTTGAGTATGCTTTATATTAAACAGCAAAAATTGTTGTGTTTTCTATTATTTTGGGGAAGAAGGTTAGTGGTTAGTGATTAGTGGTTAGGATAAAGGTGCAAGATTCGAATACAAATTTTTAAATGCAGAGAGTAGTCTAATTATTCGGACAAACTGACACTTGTTAGGTAAAATGAACAATTCGAGGCTGAACTAACTTATTGGAATCAAAGTCATTTTAGGTTATTAAAATACGAATATATTCCAATGATGTAATATGAATTAACATCACATATATTTGATGGTGCTACATATATAATAATGCGTATAATAAAAATATATCCCAATGATGTAATATGAATTAACATCACATATATTTGATGGTGCTACATATATTATAATGAGTATAATAAAAATATCAACGGGTCAATGGCCTAGTGGTATCAGTTTCTTACTTTTCAAAAGAATGTCAGAGATTTAAATCTCAGAAGAAATAAGTGTGTATGAGTACTAACTAGGAAAAAAAAGAGTACAATAAAAATAGAGCAAATCTAAGATTAGTTTTTCACTTTTTTCCTTCATCTTTTATTATTACTTGCACGTAACCAAGTGTACATCAAAGTTGACAACTGTCTCAATTAACCTCATTATACGAATTAAGAATGGTTCAAGAAATTTCTCCCATCATTAAAAATATATACGTATAGTACTTCGCGAATATTAATTAGAAGTCTATACGTACTACTTATTAAATAGTCACAAAGAATAGAGAGTGGTTATGTTAATGAAAATTGTTTCTAACTAGGATAATCTATTTTAGAGTAAGTGATTGATGTGGTAATTTTTTGATAATTGAAAACTCTATAAGTAAAGATGAGGTTGAAAGAATACTGTAGAGAGAAGAAAAATGTGAAGACTGAGAGAAAGAGGATTGTAAAAGGAAGAGATTGTGAGTCCGTAATCCTGATATTGGAAAAAAGATGAGTTATTTGTTGTCAGTGAATGTTGGTAACTTGCCTAAATCACTTAAATCTCATTCGTTAATGTGTGTATACTTTTATCTGTTTTTACTGCTATTATTGAGTGAGATCTTGGATAATTCAAAATAGGAAATGCACATTTGTTTCTATCATTTTTGAGAAGAGGGTCAATGGTTCTTGTTTATCAAAACCTCAATTCATTCTATTAACCCCAGTGACATCATTTGAGTATGCTTTATAATAAACAGCAAAAATTGTTGTGTTTTCGTATTATATTGGGGAAGAAGGTTTGTGGTTAGTGGTTAGGATAAAGGTGCAAAATTTGAATACGAATTTTTAAATGCAGAGAATAGTCTATTTATTCGGACAAGCGGACTCTTGTTAGGTAAAATGAGCAATTCGAATTTGAACTAACTTATTGGAATCGAAGTCATTTTAGGTTATTAAAATACGAATATATTCCAATGATGTAATATGAATTAACATCACATATATTTGATGGTGCTACATATATAATAATGTGTATAATAAAAATAGAGCTAATCTAAGATTAGTTTTTCACTTTTTTTCCTTCATCTTTTCTTATTACTCGCACGCACGATATTAATTAGAAGTCTATACGTACTACTTATTCAATAGTCACAAAGAATAGAGAGTGGTTCCATATATTGGGGCTTTACTAAAGAAGAACAAGCAAAACACACACACACACAAAAAAAAACAGAAAAACAAAAAACAAAAAACAAAAAACAAAAAAAGAAAAGGAAAAAAAATACAAGGAATAGCTTTCACCACTAACCGAGAATATATACAACACTTATAAACCACTATCTTAAAATAGCTATTTTGCAATTTGCAACTTGTTAATGTGGTGATTTAATATCACGCAGTTGCCTCTCTTTGGAGAGTAGTTTTGCAAACCTGCAAGATCATTATTTTGTTAGAATTGTTAAAGCGAACTCCATAGTAAAAATCTATAGTTAAGATGATCCATATACCTTCTCAGAGCCTCTTCATTAGTCTCATGCTCAGAGGACTCAACCATGCCAGTCTCCAAATTTACTCTCGAAATTGGTTTCTTTAGCAACCTTTCACCAACTTTTACAAGCTCGTTTAAATTTTCCGTAGTAGCTATATCAACAGAAGACACTATCCCATTTAATGAGTCATCCTGTAATTTTTAATTCATCAATTCCAACATTAATGTGTTAGTTGACAAAATATGAAAAAAAAAATGTAACTTAAAAATTTGATTTCTATTAGAATATTGTATCACTAAATTTTTACTTTGACGTGAATGTAGATGCATACTTGAATGCGGAGGTAATTCTTTTCGGAGCGAAGGGCTTGAAAAACCACAGAAAGGTGGAAATCAACCATATCAGCACTAGCTTGAGTAAACACATCTACCACTGGGGTGGAACCACCGGTGGTTAACCACCCTAATATACCCCACTTAGCCACTTTTTCTGCAATGTATTTCTCTTCTGCTTCGAATGAGCCAGTTCCCAAGGATATAACCAATAACCTGCCATAGTCCATTTCTTCGATAAGAAAGAACCCGGGATTTTTCTGTATGATCTGCTTTGTTACTTCACCAATTGCAACCAACGTCTGAAACATTACATTGTAAAAAAATAAAAAATAAAAATAAATAAATAAATAAATAAATAATTGAATAGTGTTAAATAAGGCCTCATAGATCAAATTAATACATACCGGATTATTTGCTGCAACACCACCATCAATTAGGTTAAATTGTCTCACTTCTCCTGCAAGGTCATTGGTTTCGAAATAGTGTGCAGGAAGATAAGTTGGTGCTGCTGAGGTTGAAATGCAAATATCGGAGAGTAAAGCATCCAAGCTTGGTTTGTTCTGCACCTAAACGCAATTAAAGTATGTAAAAAAACCATCAGTGTTCGATCAATTCAACCATAGTGCACCTTTAGATTTCGCTGAAGAAAATTTAAATTAAGAAGACATTATTAGGATAATTAACCTCATATGTAGAAAAGATGGTTGGTTGGAGTCTCTTGATGTCAAATGTTGGTATTACAACATTAGTCAATGTCTGGTGCAATCGCTTGTTTCCTAGTTTTTCCTGAATGATGTTATGGAGATACTTCCCATCGTATTTTGGTCCTGACAGTGCTTTGATTATCTTTTTAATACGAGGAAATGGAAAACTGTTGTTTGAAATTGAATTAAAGTTCAACAATGTTAATTAGCAACCATACATATGATTTATCATATATCACCATAAATAATTACCATAAAATTTGTTAATATGCATGATTACCTGACTTGTGGGAAAATTTTAGGGCAGTGTTCAAGATAAAAGTCTTTGATATCCTTGGCTACAAACAAAGGGCGATTCTTTTCGTTCGGTACAGTTAGCATGGCAGCAACAAGTCCACCTGTGCTAGTCCCTGCAATAATATCAAAATAATCTGCAATTCTTGCATCCTCACCATCCAGCTTCTGCAACATACATGATCAAATTACCCGCCAAGTTGAGTTAATACTAGATAGATTATGATAACCAACAGTACGTTGCTATATCTATTCAATTATATATATATATATGTAATCTGAATGGCATGGAAATTAATAAGCATGAAGAAAGGCTGCACAATAACAACTTTTATTGGAATTAATAACTCTACATGTGTTATCAAGGAAATGCCATTCTTTTGACACTAAAAGCTTAAAAAGTGTAACCTACTTGAAGCTCAGACTCCAGAAAGCTGAGGATGGTTCCAGGGATGATCCCTCTTATTCCACCTCCATCAATGCTGAGAACTGTGATTAGGTTTCCATAAGTTGGGGGCTGCAGGGATGACTTCAGTTTTTCCATGTGAGCTTGTGTGTGTGTGTGTGTCAGAGAGAGAGAGAGAGAGAGAGAGAGAGAGAGAGAGATTTTGCTGGCAAGGAGATATGAAGTTCTAATCTGTGACCTTGAGTATTGCGTACTCTCTCGGTAAGTATGAGTATTATTTATAGACCTCCAATCGTTATCAACGATGTCATAAATGCGTCCAGCTGCTTATAAATTCATGCAGAGGGTACCTTAGTTGGCTTAAGTTGGACCCACTGTAACATTAGTTCATCCCAGCAGCCACCTATAGAGAGATATATTAATGTTATTTGGCAGGAAACTAGTAATTTTGAACGTCCCAATATAATGATATACATGTGACAATTGTAGGCAAGGCACTTGTCGGTAAGAACAATTCGGTGAAGCAATAAGGGTTGCAGATGCTTTATAGTTCGGTGGGTTAGTGCCACGGTAAATTTTGTAGTGTCACATCGACTTTCTGCACAGTGTCACATCGACTTTCTGCACCTACTAATCTAACTGTTAACCCTTCTTACCTTTTGTAAATAAAAATTAAAAAAAGGGGCCAAAAAGAATAAAATTAGCGAGACCATATCATAAATAAAAAATGATATAATATTATAAATATGCTTTATACTATAAACTTTAATATATATATATATATATATATTTCAAAAGAGATAATTCATTTTTTGGTTTACTCTTTTTTTTTTTTTTGGTTCCTATGAAATAACATATTTTTTGGGTCCTGTCAAAAAAATAATTTATTCAAGAAAACCCTTTTTTATTATTATTATTACTATACTTTTTTTCTTTTTGTTGTGTCAAAATAGATAATTTAATCAATAAAAAAATTAATTTATTCATCTCAGATAGCTTTTTTTGGTATTTTTAATTTTTTTTGTAAGGCGTATCAAAAGTAATAATTTATTCTGTGACGGCCCAAGTTTTTCAACCCGGTGCGTCAGTAATGAACCGAAAGTTGACCCGATAACGAATCCGAAATGTGGAAGCAAAAGATGAAACCAAGGTCTTTAGAGATATAAACCATCTCTAAAACACCAATGTGACCTTCCATGAAGCCACGAAGCTCAAAGAGGACGAAAGTGGAAACAGAGGTCAAAACGGCCAAAAACCGTGAACCAATGGGCAAAATGGTCAACTCTCAATTAAAAGGAGAAATTTGACTCTAAACAAGTCAAACAAGGTGAAAACAACCTAATTGATTCATTTCACAACATTCTAAGAGGTTCTAAGAATATTGGACAAGAATCCCATAAAATACCCTATCCCGGTTGAAGTGAAAATTGACACTACTTCACTAAAATATGAATAACTCCAACTGTGTTTAGAATCTGAGAATGGGATTGGTACCATTCGAAAACTGACTTAAAATCCTTGAGTTTAGGCTTAAGAATCACCCCATTTGGATTTAAAACGAATGAGTTATGACTCTTTGAAGTTGGAAAACCAGTGCTGAAACTGGACTAAAGCTACTCTCGGGATCTAGCTATTTCGGTCAACCGAAATGACCCATCGGACGACTGAAATGAACAAATTCTGTGCTGAAAACAAATCTTTAAGGCTTGGTTGGTTTGATACTCCAAAAGGAACCATCGGTCGACCGAAATGAGACATCGGTCGACCGAAATGACCCTAAACGCTAACTTTGGCTACTGGAAAGTGAAGTTTCAAGGTTCAAACAAAACCCAAAAGGCTTCGGTCGACCGAAATGACTTGAGAAAGTGCACAAACCTCCTGTTATGCACCCATGGTTGAAAGTCCACTTAGAATACCCCATGGCATGTTCAATTTGCATTATATACGAGTATGTGATGATGTGAACATGCACGCAAGCGTGAAAACAACATTTAAACATTTTACAACGGCCTACGGCCTTATTACAAATCATTTTCAACATTTGACATGTCAAACCTCCAAGCTAGAAACATTACATTACATAGGCAAAACCAAACATGCTAACACTTGCATGTGAACAAGAAAGCCTCCAAAGAAACTTCAATACAGCAATTCACGCAAAGCATGTGCAACTCACCAATCTCGTGCCTTGTACCTGAAATATGCCCCAGTAACGTAGGGGTGAACAACATAAAGCTACTCATTGGAAATGAGTATGCATCGACCTATGCTTTACAAGTTTGCATGATTTAATTATTGTGGTTCATTCCACCTAACGTCTATGTCAAAGGTGAGACTCAGGGAGCATCCTAGCTACCTAAGATCATTACTAGCATAAAACACATCTTTTATGCAATTTCAACAACACAAGAGCATGCTACACATAGCCACACGATATAACATACTTACACAAAGCAACAAGATAGAAACATGCTTACACGAAACAACTAGATAGAAACATGCTTACATAAAGCAACAAGATATAGATTTTCCAAGTAATCAACTTAAAATCTAAAATGTGAAATCAACTAAATATAGCAATTTAGTATAATTAGAATATCTAATACCACACATCAAGACATAGATTTTCTAGACTATCAACTAGAAATCTAAAAGTGTGAGATCAACTAAATATAACAATTTAGTATAGATTTACCTAACAACGTCAAATCGCCAATAGCCAAAACACAAGTCACAATATAAACACGATTGCAAACTTGGAATTGAATGCGAAAACAAATAGTGGAAGACTTGGACATCACGCTCGGAATTCTGCCGAGACCTCAATGGTTATTCCGGGCACTAACCCGCTGGGAAGACCACCCTAGTGCGCACTATCTCAATGACTTATAGGACTCACGTCCCCGTACTAGAGCCAAACCCTAGCCATCTCAACTCAACAATGTCCCAAGATTCTAAAATAAGCCAAATAAGTTCACAACTTATACATATTACTACTACATAGTAACAAGTTAGCAATTTAACTCCCAATAGTGCATAATAAGCATTTCATATTCATAATGCTATGAAATCACAAGTCAACAATATATTCATATTAGAAACATGTTATCATGAATATAAATCTAACAACAATGCTTTTCAATGCTTAAAACATAACCAAGTGAATACACCACAAGTCTAAATCCATAATCATAAAATAGTAGCAACTTCTAAAACATGATTAAATCCATGCAACAATAAGATATAGTTTAATTAAATAAAAATAATAATTAAACCCTCTAGATTTTCATACTCAACCAAATACTCTCAAATTAAAGTATGTTAACAAACATATCAAAACTTAATTTAGAAGCATAATACAACTCAATTTCATGCAAGGTATGGCCATGAACTTTAATTTTTCACAAAAGATAAATATTAATTAAAAAGTTAAATTCTTATTTAATTAATCCCAATTTAATATATATTAACAAACATATTAAAAATAAACTTTTAAGCATGCCACAATTCAAATCAAAGTTATATATCATTATGAATTTTAAATCTTATACAAAGAAATAAAAATTACTAACTTTCTAGATTTGATACAAGGCGTACATATATGTTGTATAATCATGGCAAACACATAATACAACACACAAATAATCCTAAAACATTCCCTACCTCCATTTGAAATGAAATCTCAAATCCCCACCAAAATGAATGTACTCCGAATCCAACGAAACTTCTAGGTTTTGTCGGGGACAACACTATGAACATAAACCCCAAGGAAGCCCCATCAAATTCACATCTTGACTTCAAACTTGAACTTAAGAAATGACCAAAACTGAATTCTAATAAGGGGGAATGATAGAGCACGTCGAGGAGAACAATAAACGTTAAGGCCGAAGACTTTCCATCAAGGAAAAGTGAACCAAAAGAGGAGAGTGAAGATGGCTGGGATTCCGGCTAGAAAAGAGGAGAGAGAGAGTGAGATCTGATTTTTCAACTGAAGGCACCCTATTTATAGAAATATCTCAAAAAGTGCCCCGAACGGGCCCCGCCGTGTCCAAAAAAGTAAAATTCACGCAGACGAGCTCAAACGGCAAAACTCCATGAACAAAAAAGATTCAAAATCAGAAAATAAGAACAACGGAAGAAACAACGTCAAAAACTGAGTTTCGAACAGAAAGTTATGCCTCAAACAAGTTTGGCGCAAATTGGGGCCAGAAACCCTGAAACGGGAAAACATCAATCAGGAGGAAATTCCAAGAGTACACGACTCGACGAAAAGTGAAAATGAATCACATACGAGGATCCAGGCTCAAAACAAGACATTGAACAATAACTTTCATTAATTGCACAATGGCCCCTCCAAAAAGTGAAAACTGCGAAACTGCCCCAGAATGTTCAGATATTTTCTTAGAAACCCCTGAAATAAATATCTTCAAAATATATTTATGAAAAACACCCCAAGAAAAGAAAAAGTTTCCAAAGAACTTTGCATCCATGCCCCTATGGACACCGGGAGCAACCAGAGTACTTTCTTGCAAAGGTAAAGACACGTATTTCATGGAAACCACAGAGAATGAAGATACTTGTAGTCAGAAATCAACTCCGAACACAAGAAGTGTGATTATGCCAACGAAGTGACAAACGGGGAAAAGACAAAATAGGGAAAAAAAGTGAAATAAGGAAAAGGATAAAAGTGAATTGTGTCTAAAAAGTGAAAATATGTAAATGACTCGGTCCTCAAAGGAAGTTGTCAATCCAAATAAAAGAGTCTCAGAAATCATTTCAGAGCACTCGAAATGACACTAATCGACAAGAAACCAAACTCAGAAGGGAAAAGACAACGGAAAAAATTTATCCGAAAAATCCGGGTCATTACAACCTTCCTACCTTAAAAGGATTTCGTCCTTGAAATCCAGCCCCAACAAAACAAAAAGGCGAAACCAGGATAACTACGAAGTACATCTCCGAGTACCTCACACAACATGCCGCACCCGCGACCTCAAAGCTGAAAGCAAACCAATGTCACTTGCACCCACGTGCTCATGACAAGATAACCTTTCAAAGGAGAAGTGACTGTATGGCCACACAACAAGTCAGAACTCACACACTGAACCCAAGGTCAGACAAAAGAATGGAAAACAACAACCATAAGCATTCCTCCTGATGAACCTCCAAACTGATCCATAAACAACTACCAAAT